GACGATTTCTCAACACAAGTTCTGCGGAAACAGTTGATGCTTGGGAAAAGAGTATCGAGGGAGGTACGCCTTTTTTTCTCAAGATCAAACCAATTTGTGAATGGTTTACGGATGGGTCATAGAGTTAAAATACTTAGAGAGAGACTAGATGGCATTGAAATTGACATTAAAAAATTCAACTTTGATGTTCGTGATGAGGAGAGAGCTTCTTTGACCATGGTCAGGGAGCAAACTACCTCATCTGAACCTGAAATAACAGTTGGGAGAGAGAGTGACAAAAAGACAGTTAAAACGTTTCTGATGAATTCCAACTATGAACATAATGTTTCTGTCATCTCCGTAGTTGGAATGGGAGGATTGGGGAAGACCACACTAGCTCAACATGTTTTCAATGATGAGCAAGTTAAGGCGCACTTTGGTGTGAGACTCTGGGTAAGTGTCTCAGGCAGCTTAGATGTTAGAAAGATTATCAAAGCGGCTGTAGGTACTGGAAATTCTGATGATCAGTTAGAGAGTCTGAAAGAAAGCTTGAAGGGAAAATAGAAAAAAAGAAGTATCTTCTTGTATTAGATGATGTGTGGGATGGTAAGGAAGGTCTGGATGGTGAAAAATGGGATAGGTTGAAGGAGTTGTTACCACATGATGCAGTAGGAAGTAAGATAGTGGTAACTACACGTTCTCATTTAATTGCAAATTTCACAAGCACAATAAAACCACATGTTTTAAAAGGTCTATCAGCAGATGAGTCATGGGATTTGTTTAAAAGAAAGGCATTTTGTCAAGACCAAGAGTCGGGTCATGTAGATGAAAAAATTAGAAAAGAGGTTGTAGAGAGGTGTCGGGGAGTTCCTATGGTCTTAGAGGCAATTGCGAGGTTAATGTCTTTGAAAGATAGAGCCCAGTGGTTGCCCTTTGTCCAACAAGAACTTCCAAATAGGGTCCAAGATGATAATATCATAGATACCCTTAAGTTAAGCTACGATCCTCTTCCATCATATATGAGGCATTGCTTTGCATACTGTAGCTTATTCCCAAAAGGTCATAGGATTGATGTGAAGTCATTGATTCGACTTTGGATTGCACAAGGGTTTGTTAGCTCTTCGAATTTGGGTGAGTGCTTAGAAATTGTTGGTCTTAGGTGCTTTGAGAATTTACTGTGGAGGTCCTTTTTTCACGAAGTTGAAAAGGATAATTTAGGTAACATAGAATGTTGCAAAATGCATGATTTTATGCATGATCTTGCAACCCATGTCGCTGGTTTTCAGAGCATCAAAGTGGAGCGTGGAGGAAATAGGATTAGTGAATTGACTCGGCACGTGTCATTTGACACGAAATTGGATTTGTCTTTGCCTTTTACAAAATGTCTAAGAACACTTGTATCATTGGAAGGTGGCACATGGGATGAGGGGGCATGGGTGTCAATTTGTCGAGACTTTAGGCGTTTACGTGTGCTTGTTTTGAGTGATTTTGGAATGAAGGAAGTGTCACCTCTCATTGAAAAGATCAAGCACCTTAAATATCTTGATCTTTCGGATAATGAGATGGAGGCGCTTTCTAATTCTGTCACCAGTCTGGTAAATTTGCAAGTGCTCAAGCTCAATGGTTGTACGAAACTTGAGAAACTACCTAGGGATATTGGCAAGCTGATCAATCTGAGGCATCTTGATGTTGGTTGCTATCGTGATGGTGATTTATGTAAAAAGTTAGAGTATATGCCTCGTGGGATTGGGAAATTAACTAGTCTACAGACGTTGTCATGTTTTGTAATTGCAAAAAAGAAGAGTCCTAAATCTGAGATGATAGGTGGATTGGATGAGTTGAGAATGTTAAATGAATTGAGAGGGAGGCTAGAAATAAGAGTCAAGGGATATGAGGGTGGTTCTTGTATATCAGAATTTGAAGGAGCCAGATTGATAGATAAAAAATATCTTCAGTCGTTGACCGTATGGTGGGACCCAGACCTGGATAATGATTCAGATATTGATTTGCATGATAAAATGTTGCAAAGCCTCCAACCAAACTTGAATCTTCAAGAGTTGAGAGTTAAAGGTTATGGAGATACGAGGTTTCCTAGTTGGGTCTCAAATCTCTCAAATCTTGTAAGGATTCATCTAGAACGCTGTAGAAGACTTAAGGATATCCCTCCCTTACATGGAATCCCTTATCTTGAAGAATTAAGTATTGAGAGATTGGATGATTTGGAGTACATAGATAGTGAGGGGGATGGAGGAAAAGGAGTGTCGATGTTTTTCCCATCCTTAAAGACACTTAATATCTTTGATTGTCCCAGACTGAAGGGATGGTGGAAGAGACGGAGTAGAGATGAGATAAATGATGATAGTGATGAGTCAACAATAGAAGAAGGGTTGATAGTGCTCTGTTTTCCACGTCTTTCTTCCTTGTTCATTTCTGAGTGTGCAAATCTGACTTCGATGCCGTTGTTTCCAACTCTCGATGAAGGTCTTTATTTGCGGAGGACTAGTTCAATGCCGCTACAGCAGACAATGAAGATGACATCACCAGTCTCTTCTTCTTCTTCTTCTTCATTTACCCGTCCTCTCTCCAAATTGAAGAGACTATATATGTATTCAATTGATGATGGTAAGAGCATTTTCACCGTGAGGATACTATTTTTAAATATAAAGGTTTTTAACAACTTTCTTCCTTCATTTAATTTCTGTTGTTGTTGTTGTTATTATTAATTTTACTCTTTCTCTGATAAAACTATTATATTATTTCTATAAATATTGGTAACATTTTTTAATTAATTAAAGTTCCATTTGTTTTTTTTTAAATATTAATATTAAAAATAAATTTTTAAAAATAAAAAATATCAACTTAATATATTCTTAAATAAAAATTGTTTTTAAAAAATAAAGCTCTTACAAAGGGGTTCAGCCCTCAACACAACGACAGATTACCCCATCTCTCTTCCCTACCTGCACAAAGTAAAGCCGTCTCCAATCACCTAATCTATCGTTTTTTTAAAAAAGAAAAAAATTGAAGGTTCTGCCTGTCTGAAACCAAAATTTCATGCTACTTAGGTTTCTGTTGAAACTAATGCAACTTCTGTTTAACCTTTTCTTGTCGGCCCCCTTTTGACATCTTTTTTGTGCAGGTATGGTGGTTGGGGTGGGGTTGATTAATTTGATAAGGGGATTAA